TTTTCGTACGCCATCCAACCAGGTTGCAGAAAATATAGAACCAAATCCTCCTTTTGAATATCTGCTAGTCTATCATTCAATCATTTTATCATATTGATAGGCTCTAAGTTGAAACTCATTCATGCAATCATCAACATACATATTTAATTTTCGTGCTTCAATGTCAGGGTCACATGACAGATACCATGCTTCGTGTTAAATTTTGTTACGTAGACCGAAATTCTATCACGAAAAAGATTCATTCTTATCAATTCAATATTTGAACTTGTCATAATCCTTTTCCACACCAATTATATATTTATAATAAATGACTGTTTTAAAAATTACTTGCCTTAGCTGATTTTCGATAAAGTTTAATTATCCATTTCAACACCGATTCCTAAATAATAACAACATCCAACTTCAAACATTTCCTATCTCAGAGGATCTTTGATAATGGATTAATGCTTTTTCCTCATCCTTCTCGACATCGTGATCCATTTTTTTAAGCAAAGGAGACAACCATACGAATTTGTAATAAATGCAGATAACATAGAAATACTAAAATATGAATGTCACTTTAAAAGGATTGAACGAATGATCCACAATCCGCATATTTAAGGATTACACAAAAAAAATACGGATCGTGCGGATTACACAAAAAATCCGGATTTTGAACAGATACACGGATTGCAGATTAACAGATAATGGTAAACTTATTTAGTTTGGTTATTTGTACAACATTATATTACCAAAAAAACGTATTTAATTTAATTTATCGTTATATCGATATCGATATCGATATCGATATGACTAAACTATAGCGATAGATAATAAAAAAAAGATATCGCTTGCTATTTGAATGCTGACAAAGAGTCTAAATATAGGTTATACTATAAAAAATCAATACAGTATTATTCTATAATTAGATTTCCGGTACATACATACATACATAACAGATAACAGATAAGTACTACGTACAATACATACCGATACATATCAGATATACATCATGGTTTACTAACCATGCTTAATTACAAAAGTTTGCATAGCCATTCACAAAAGACCCGAACTATTTAGATAATATATAGATATGTATAATTTATTAACATTGAATTAAAAACACTACAAGTCTATTTATTATAGAAATATAGTGTATTATATAACAATGTATATAATTTTCTTTTCTTTGAATTATTTTTTCAATGCTTTTTTACAAGAGCATATAATAATGTGAAAATAAAAATAAATATAAAAAAGTAATAAGAAAAAACAATCAAATTTACAAAAAGAAATAAATATTCTTAAAACAAATATAACTACAACGAATTTCGTTTAGTCTACAAAATGATCTCATTTACAATTTAAGTGAAAAAAAAACGAATCAGAGATGTAGAAAACCTAATTCATAAAATACCTAATTTTGTTAGTGAACAACTTAAGAAACCCCTTATATAATTTTATAATTTAAAAAAATTATTTTTTTTTTTTTGTGAATGAATGATTTCATTCTTTTATTTTCTGGTTCTCCTGTACAAGGATCATTTGTTTCAAATAGGGATCATCCTTCTTTTCACCATCTTTTGCACCCATACCGACCAAGCCCAATAAACTGAATCGCTTTCCATTTCTAAAACCTGTTGAATTTCTTCGTGATCGTTTAGATAACTCAGCCAATTGAACAGTTTCATTACCCTTAGATCGAGTTTGTTCAGGCTCTTCAGCTATATTTTCTTGTATTACAGGTTTGAGATTATTTTGAGGCTGAGAAGCACTTCGGAGGTGAAAACTAGAAAAGGTTTTTCGCCTTTCCATTTTCTTTTTTGCGGGCTCCTGACTCAAATTAAACGAACCTGTTGTTGGTGAAGTAGGCGAAGAAACAGTCTTTTTTGCTGACCACTCGTTAGATAAAATTTCCTCAAAACCTTTAGCTTCCATGATACGATTAAGGATCTTTTGAATATAAAGGGACATTGATTTGTTTGAATCTTTGAGTAATTTAATTTCATCTTGCAATTCTATAAAATCAATAAAATAAATAAATAAAACGTATTATTATTATTATTTATTATATCATGAAATGGAAATGAAATGAAATACGCACTCTCAATAATAGTGTGGTCACTCTCCTTATGCACACGTTCGCCTTGAAGACAATCGCTAAGCTCAGATGCACGATTTAATTCAGCTTCCAAATCTATGGCAAGTGATTTTGGATCGATTATGGAAGAATCATCTTGAGTTAATTTACCATCTTCTTTGTTTGTGCGATTTGTCTCTTTTGCTGAGATAATATATTTTGCATTTCTCTTTTTATTTATTTATTTATTATTATTTATTTATTTGTGTTATTTATTTGATATTAATTAATTAATTATTAAAAAGAAAAATAGAATTGATTAATTAATATTTTCAAGTAATGAAAAACAAGGTTACAGAGGTTTTATTTACCTGCATGATAGGATTTAACATAAATTCACCTCTCATGGTCTTTTCATGTAACAATAGTTGATACCCTTCATTTTCTTCCATTAATGTTTGGTTCATATGTTTAACTTGACCAAGCTCATTTTCTAAATGATGAATCCTAGCAACATGGCTCTTATTTACATTCATTGATTCGGTATGAGCACGTTTAACATTTTCAATTTCAGTTGTTAATTCATTAACACGTCTTTCAAGTTCTTTAATGGTTCGTTGAGCAGTCCTAGCCTCACGGGCAGCACTATAATGTGAAGGCGTAGAACCTGTAGTGGGAGTTAATGGAGGACTATCTTCTACATATATATATATATATATATATATATAAGATTAAATTAATTCAGTAAAAATTTAAATTTGATTTATAAAATACATAAATACGGAAGAAATTGTACCATCATTAGAACTTGAATTTTTCTTTTGTGAAGCTTCATATTGTTGTGCGAGAACATTAATTGTTTCTTGAAGAGCTTTAACTTGACCAGTTAATTCGGATTCACGCATTTGCCATCCAGCTCGATCTTTTTCAAAGGCTTGAGTCTAAATATTAATGTAATTTATTCAGTATATATCAATCAATATATTTATCTAAACAACTTTTTAATAAATAATTATATACCTCCTCTCTTAATTTCCTTTCTACTTCACGTTTATTTTTCAAAAAGCTAACATTTTCTTTTTTTAGCCTTTCCACTTCTTGTCCTTGTTGATAAAGTTCGGATTCAATTCGTGCGTATTCATTGTGATGGTTTGTAATTTCTTGTTGAAAAGAAGAATTCTTTTTACGAAGAAAATTGTTATCGTCCGTTAATGTAGAATTTTCTTTATTAGCGCGTTCAAGTTGTTCACAGGCCTATTTTTTTAAAAAAGTTTCGTTATTAATCTTAAACAAATATTCAAAATTATTCGAAATTACATAACAAGCATGAATCTCGGTCGAAACCGGAGTTAGCCTAGATTTACCGGCTTATTCAAGTCTTTTATAAAGGAAAACTTACTGAAGCATGAATATTTTGAAGGTTTTCTACTTGCTGTCGTAGCGTTGCTAATTCTCTGTCGGGTGACATTTTGGATTTTGAACCAGAGTTATAAATAAATTTATTGGTAAACGTATCGTTTATAAAATTTTGAAGTGTGTAGAGTATGTAGATGTAGATGGAAATAATGAATCTTAATTTTTAAACGAGAAATATATATAATAATTTTTTTCGAGTTGTGTCTTATAAAGGTAAAATCATACAAGTTAATGAAGAAAGAAAAGAATATATATAAAGTGTCGAGAAGTCGTTTCTTGATAACTCGATTAATTACAAATATTGCATAACAGCCGAAATAACGGCAAGAGTATTTTCGTGAATATAAGAAATATTAAAAAGTAAAAGAAAAGTAAAAGAGTCGTCTCAAAATCATAAAAAAATGGTTCAAACTGATACAGTAAATAAAGCTAAAACTGAAACTTTGGCTTTTGCAGTTAGCATGCAGAAAAACCGTGCAAAACTAACGGATAGTTTTATTCGTTACTGCTTTATACAGATCGTTACAAGTTGTTTTTTATTGGTGTTCTTAATATAAATGATTTGATATCAAAGAAGGGTTAGAAAAGAAAACCCTCCCTTTTTTTTCGTAACAAAGAAGAGAAAATCGAAAGAATAAAACAACGAACGGTAAAGAAGCACCTAAACTTGGTACTAGAATCAACAAAAATCAAATAGAATTTTAGGAGCACGTATTTATAAAATTGGTATTTTTGACAATAGGTTACTAAATAATAAAGAATAATAAATTGATTCGCAAAAATAAATTTTCTGTCGTGTTCAGTTTGAGCATCGTTCGAATTCCAATAAATGGAATATTTTCATCGTATCACTTCCTTGAAAAGTAGAATGCAATTTGTCCAACACCCAAAGAGGAATTACTGAAAATGTTTTATCATGCAAAATTGAACGGTCTCCTCCGCATGCGAACACCATGCACTTCCACGTAGCACGTCGTGTATGCGTCCCTCCGTTTTTCAGCATATTTAGAAATAAATAATTTTTGATTAATTTATTGATTGGTTCAATGAAACTATCTACGTATCAGTTTTGTGTTTTATTACTACCAACATTTATTTATTCTAAGCGAACAGACCGAGTACCCAGAATGGATCGAGCATGTCAAACTGTTATTGTTGGATTATTTGTAAATATTTGTTTTTGTGTAAATAAAAATATTTCATTAATTCCGAATTTGACGTGCATTTATATTACGTATATTTTCAAAATAATCATTGAATATTTGAATATCAACTCGTTATTGGATTGAATTTATTTCATCATCACTCTTACCGTTTCTTTTCTTTTTTAATCCTTTTTATGGTAAATTAATTTTAAATACTATTTGCTAAACATGTGCAATTACCTAATTATTTAATCCCTTCAATTTCTTAATTTCTTTTATAATTTCTTTTATATTTATTTTGAAAAAAAACTAAATCATCAAATTGAATTTATTACAAATAGCATAAAAGATTTATTTTCTTATTTTACGCTTTAATAACCTTAATACTGTCGGCGTTTTGCTGAGAATTCTTCTTGTCTTTCTTCACCTTCATTCATCATAGTTATTGATCTTTTTGGTTGGAATGACTGTCCAGATTCCCATCCTTCAATTTTTAATTTTTCTAATTGATACTTGGTTTCTAAAGCAGTATGTCGAACTCGGATATCTTCAAAATTGCTGGGTATTTTAATATCTTCTATTAAATTTTGAAATAATGTCGGATTCAAATATATATTATCTATTGTAAATAACGAGTTGTATTAGAATATATTATTGTACTAATTGTTTCCCAACTTAATAAACATACATATATATATATATATATACCAGCACTAATCTTATACATTGCCTTCAAAACATCTTTTACATCATTTAATTCCACTAATTCGGGATTATCATGTACCAAATTAAATGTATAAATAATGCGCATTTCCGATTTTTCGGTAATATGACGTTGAAATCGATCTACTAAGACATCCCTTAAGCTTTCCCGAAGAGTATATTGTATATATGTTTTATCCTGTCAAGCAAAGTAAAAACATTGCTTGATGATTGGCCAGAGAATTATAACGCGTATTCAAAAATTATCTGTTTACACAATTATCATGCAAAAAAATACTTAAATACCAGGTACGCAAAGACACTCCCCAAAATTTCTGTAGCTTTTGCATGGTTAACACATATTTGTCGAAAATTCGAGAACCATGTGTCAAATTGCTTATCATTTTCTAATTGATTTCCAAGTGCCTCTAAAGTTCTTTCAATTACCGAGGTCAAATCTGAATAAAGTCGTTTCTGAAAACCTTGCCAACACATCCAATATATACTTCTATTATAAGCAATATATTTAGTGTGTTTTTTTATGTTGAAATAGAATTATAACAAATTATAACAAATTATAACTTAGTTACGATTCAATGCAAACCTATAAAGTTCTTCATGAGAGTAAGTATGCAAAGGTTTCTCTATCTGTAGACTCGCCTGAAGTGCATTTTGGACAAAACCCGAGATTTGAGGCCAGAACATTGTCTCATATGTACATTCGGTAACTTGAACTCAAGATATTTGTAGTAAAAAAAAAAAAAATCATGACGTGTTCTCTTGTCAGTGACACTGACTTTGATTTGGAAAAAAAGGATCTGAAATTCTTTCACTTTTTTTCTCACCTGGATTCATGTATACATGGGTGTCAAAAATATTTTGCTCTTGGCGTAAATTTAAATGGCGAAAATGTAAATAATTTAGTCGAAAATATTAAAATGACATTTTTGTGATCTCCTGTGATAATTAACATAATTAACGTTAACGTTAACCAATCAAAATACAATAATTTATCGTATATTCCCTTACTGTATGTATATCTGAAAACGAGAAAAACATCATATCAGATATAAAAAAACTTATAAAATGATAAATACTGAGAATAAATAGACACGTTTAAAGTGGGTAAATGCTATTATATTTATTATTATATGTATTATATACTAATAAACACAAGATATAAACCAAACCTTTTAAATAAAAATTTATGTAATAAAATAGCTTTAGACGAAAATGTTTCTAACTACTGTATAATTTGATATGGTTCAATAAACGGTAGTCTGTTTTGTCTTCTAAGCAAAGTTCTTCAAGTTCCCGCCATTTTGGTGTGCAATGGTAAAATTATTAAAACCATTTCGCTATACCGTTTGCCGTAAATCATCCATAATTTCGACATTCATGTATAGATTCATGGTCCAATTGGTGTTGAAGTTATGGTTTTACTTTGAGTCTGGCTCACTACCATCTGTCATAAATATGTTATCGTAACTCAAAATTAGTGTTGAAGCAAAGTTCTCTTGAAACCTGTTTGTATAATAGACGCGAAAATTATAATACGTGTTACGTTAGGGTATTCAATCGGTTAGGGCTAATATATGTAGATCATTAATTTCAGATTTTTTGAACAGTTTCTTTTTACAATAATTTATTAAACAACTCATCTGCCTTTTTCTCACTATAATTTATAAGTATTTTTATATTGTATGCTAATTTCTTTTTTATGTTCATTTCATAAATCAGAAAAATAGTAATAAAAATTTTTTTTAAATTATTAAAGATGAAGCCATGTTTTTAATTTTATTGAACTTTTTTTTTTTTTTATAAAGCCAACTTGTAAATTGTTTTTATTAACTTTATGCCATTATTACAAGTTTATATTTCCATTTGTGTTACTATATTACTACTAGCTATAGTCACCCAATGTGACATTATGTTTACATTTTCCTATTCTATTATTAGAACTATAATATTTCAATTATTATTACTAATTAAGGTAAGGTTGTAACCATCTTGTTACATTATATTTCCTAATTCTACCAAATTCTTTTTAATTCTCTTATCTACTTTTTGTAGTAATCTTTTCCTTCTTCTAAATTGGTTGACTCTAATAGTTTCTTGCTTTTCTTGTTATCAATTTGGTATATATAGCTTTTTATGTATTAGTACTGATCAGCATTGTAAGATTTATCAAGATTTCAGATTATCATTTGCAGTTATTATATACTCTTTTTTTGTGTACTTCTATCAGTGGTTTAATTTATTTTGGTGTTATAAGAAGTTTTGCAACTTTGATTGATTATGTACAAATATAATAACTATTAATAATATTATAATATATAATTATTAATCTTGTTTTTCTTAAGGTTTATAGTGTTTGCTGAAGTTGTTCCAATTTTGGTTAGGCCAATCCTTTACTATAGATCTTCTTTGTATGTCTTGCTTTACTTATTACTTTATTTTTAGTTATATTAATATTACTTTTCCAATTAAGTATATTGCAAGTTAGATATAAAAATGTTGATATTATTTCATATTCTAAAAAACTTACTTGCACAACATTTTATATAACAAAATCTTTTATAATACTGTTGTCACATATAATGTCTTTTTTTTGCAAAGTTGATCTCCTTTTAAAAATTTCTAATATGTTCTTGTACTTTATTTTGAAACTTATTATAAAATTTTGTATCTGATCTGGTTTTTATTTTAAATTATAAAGTTAAAATTTTTAGATTTTTGTTTTTAGCTTAACTCAAATCATTAACCTTATCTGTAAGAAGTTGGCAGTTTAATAATTATCTATGAAATCCAATTCTTATTTTATTGAAATTCAATTAAAGTTTTTATAAAGAAAAGTTGCTTTTAAATTATATATAAAGAATAAATACTCAGATATATAATCTATAACTTAAATCCACAAGAGTAGTAAAACTTATCTAGATTTAAATATAAGTAATATATAAGAAAAAAGAATGTAATATTTAATCTATTAAATAATTTAAAAATTAATTTTAGTAATAATTTGTAGAAGATAAGAGTAAACTAAAAAAAGAACTATAAGTTAAATTAGTAAAAGATATAATTTAAGACTATATAAAGCATAAAATACAATATAAAATCTATATTTATTTATATATTTATTAGTTTAAATGATAATAAAGTTTGAGAATAATGATCCTAATGTAGTATTTAGGTTGTCATTCTTTAAGTAGCAGGTCTAAGGTTCAAATCCCACCTTTGATAAAATTTGAAAATTAATCTGTATTATAACAAACTGTCTCTTGAAGATCAGTTGGATTTGTGTATCTGTAACCTTAAGTTACATTATCTTAAATAGGAGCTTAGAGCATCTATGCCAAATATAATATTACATATATATAAAGAAATATTAATAACTAGTGTTGCATAAGACTTCAGTGCAAACTTATGATAAAACCATCAGACATAGTAAACTAAAGAACTGAAGAGTCCGAAGCCCACTTAGAAATTCTTGAGTAAAGAGATAGCATGAACTTTCGATACTATGATCAAACTGATAGAAGCTCATAAAATACTTCTAAAAAAATAAATAGATAAACTGGATGTCAAGATATGTAAAAGATACATAACTAACCAGCCTGTCAGAATTACTGAAGGAAAAGAATACATAAGTATAGTATACTGGGCTATCTGGATTAGAAGTCAAAAAAGTTCTATTAATCTTAAATAGTGATTAGTAAAAAATAATAGAGAAGACATTGCAATAATAGGTACTAGGGTTCTAGTAAACTTTACAAAGATAAAAATAGTATAATATAGCAGTTAAACAAATAATTCTTATAACTGCAAATGTTAGATAACTATAGTGTATTACATAAAATTAGATTAGCTATATATAAGATATAGAAGGTTTTAATAAGTTTTCTGTTAAGAATAAACTAGTTCTAAGAGTTTTGAAAGCATCAGATACTTTGAATGAGTGTAGTCCAGAAGATGTCTTCATGATCACAAGTTAGATTACATATACAAAGGATTTAAATAAACAAGACCTATAGTTGGCTTGCAGATATAGCACCTAGTATAGAACCTGTATAGTAATATATAGGTGAACTACTTAAATTAGGCACCAAAAGTGCACATGTAGCTAGTTGTAATCTTCTATATATGGAAGCTCCTAGAGGCATCTATGTCCAAATACTTAAATAAAAATATTAATTTTTAAAGACAAAAAATTGATAATAAAGTTTAATAGAAAAAAAAAATAATAGTATAATAAGAAATAGAAGTATTATAAATAATAGAAATAAGTGTTAGTAAGAACTAAATCAAATAAAATAGAAGTAAGAGATAGTATATATAAAAAGTTATGTAGTTTAAATTTATTAAATATAAAAATTTCTTTATACAAATTAAAAACAAAATTAATAAATATATTAAAAGCAGTTGTATTTAAGATACAATTAAGAGAATTAGAAACTAAGTAATAAATTATTTAAATAAAGAAACAAATAATCTAATATAGTAAAGAAACTAGTTTAATTATATTAGTAACAGAAAAAAGAGTAAGAGAAGTTATATTTATAAAGAGTATAAGAAACAGGTAGTTTATTTGAAAGAAGTTTAAAAAATAAAAACTGTAAGTAAAGTTGTAATTTTTTGATTATTATTAATATAAAACTAAATGACTTTTTAGTAAATATTAGATATAATAATAGACTATTGTTAAAAACAATATTAATATATTTAAAGTATTATAATATAAGCTTAACAAATAATATAAATAAAGTATCAAATAGAAACCTTAATAAGAAATTAGTCAATAAATAAAGTATAAACAAGATTGTAAAAGTTGTTAGTTAAAAATATTAAAAAAGATAATATTTAGTAACTATAAGCAAGTTAATTAGTAAGATTATTAAATAGATAATTTTAATATACAGTAACTTTGTGAAAAGTAAACTGGATATTATAGAAGTTAATAAAATTAATAAGAGTTTGCCAAATAAAGAAATATAGAATATAAATATAAGAGAGTTTAGATACTAATAAACAAATATTATTCCTTAGATTGTAGATTTTCATAAGCAAATTTGCTTGCATAATTGTATTTTTTTAACTCTGATTTATTTTTTTAAAATGTTAAAGTATTTAAATAAAATTTGGTATAATAATATTTGAAAATAAGGATTACTTTTTTGCAGTATTTATTTTAAAATTATAAGAAAAAAAAAGTAGGTTGCTTATAGACCAAAAATATGTAATTTTAAAAAAAAATTTT